GGCCCACATAGACGAACTTCTCTGACAAGATGTACTACTAGATGAACCATGATATCGAAGAATGAAGGTGGAAAGTATTTTTCAAGCAAACACAAAGTAACTACTACATCTTCTTCCAACTTATCTAGCTTGGAAACATCAACCATCTTTGCACATATAGCATTGAAGAATAAGCACAAACGAGTTATTGCATACCTTGCAGGCTTCTCTAAAACAGAACGAATTGCCACAGGGAGCAATTGTTGCATTAAGGTATGACACTCATGTGATTTAAGGCCAAGAAGTCTTGAATCTTGTAAAGTTACAAGATTTTTTTATATTTGAAGAATAACCTTCAGGGACCTTCATACCATAGAAAGAATTGCAAACCGCTCTCTTCTCTGAGCAGCAATCCCATCTTTATTTTTTCCAGGGATCTCCAGCAATGTACCAATGATATTATCACAAACATTCTTCTCAATGTGCATAACATCGAGGACATGCCTCACTGGAAGGTATTTCCAATACTCAAGATCAAAGAATTTTGACTTCTTCTTCCAACAAATTCTGTCTCCATCATTTTCACCTCCACCTCCCCCTTTTTTCGATCCCCATTTGTAATTAATATCTTCAACCATATGCAGCACTTCTTCTCCAATTAATGGCTCGAGAGGCGTGCCATATTCAGGTTTCCCATTAAAAGCTGCACGTTGCCTCCTATATGGATGATTGATTGGTAACCATTTTCTATGTCCAATGTAACAAATTTTGTGGCCATTTTTCAACCTGTGACTAGGTGTATCATCGCCGCATATTGGACAAGCTTTATATCCTTTAACAACACAACCAGATAAGTTTCCATAGGTGGGAAAATCATTAATGGTCCACAGTAATGCAGCTCTGAGTGTAAAATATTCTCCTATGTGTGCATCATACACTCCTCTAATCTCATCCCACAAAGATTTTAAATCATCAATCAAAGGCTCCAAGTAGACGTCTATATCATTTCCGGGTTGTTTAGGACCGGAAATCAATAAAGTCAACATCATGAACTTTCGTTTTATGCACAGCCATGGTGGGAGATTATATGTAACTAAGATAACTGGCTAGCAACTATATCTGCTACTTAGAGAACTGTGGGGATTGAATCCATCAGATGAAATAGCCAATCTCAAGTTTCTCGGCTCATTACCAAACTCAGGCCATTTATCATCAAAGAGTTTCCAAGACGGGGAATCCGCCGGATGAGACATCTGACCGTCAATTGATTTTCTAGTAGCATGCCAAGTCAAATTCTTAGCTGTCTCATGTGATTGAAACATCCTTTTAAACCTTGGAATTGGAGGAAAATACCACAACACCTTCGCTGCCACACCCTCTTTCAAGAATCCATCTTTGGTTTTCTTCCACCTTGAGATACCACAAGTAGGACAATTAGTTGAATTTTCATACTCCTTCCTATACAAGATGCAATCATTGGGGCATGCGTGGATTTTCTCATAACTCAGCCCCAATGCAATCAAAGAGGCCGGTATTGTATTTCCTTCTGGAAGCAACTCGCCCTGAAGTATCAATAATTCTGTAAAACATACATCACTCATCCCATGTTTTGCCTTCAAATTATACAACTTCACTAATGCCGATAACTTGGTGTACTTTCTACAACCAGGGTACAATGGTTGATCTCCATCCCCAATCACATTAGTAAACTCATAAGGATCGGATCCTAAATCACCAAAATCATTATCATCCATCTCTATTTCTTCAGACACAAAACTGTACCTACTGTGGTCATCATCTTCTTCAACATTTCTACTAGCATTACTAGTTGCAATTGGTTCCCAAGGTTCTCCATGAAATGTCCAATTCTTATAGCTTTGGTCAACTCCATTAAAGTATAAGTGATCCCTTATAATTCCAACCCCAAACAATTTCAAATTCACACATTTAACACATGGACAACGGATATGCGTTGTAGTTAGAAGATTTTCTACAGAAAATTGCAAAAATGCTTCCACCCCTAACTCATATGCCTTCGCTCTTCTATCCGAGTGCATCCATGACTTATCCATCTCCGACACTATATCCTATTATCTATAATAAGGTGAAAAGACAAGCAATGACTATCACTTATAGCAGATTATATAAGGTTTTAATAGCAAATAATATAGTAAACAGACGACGGTTTTTTAACAACAACAGACGTGTTACACATATATAGACGACGGGTTTTAAAAAAACGTCGTCTAATACAGAGGCCAGCGAACTTGAACCACGACGGTAGTTAAAAAATGCGTCGTGGTATAAAAATATAGACGACGGTTTGTTAAAAAATCGTGGTCGTATGCATAAAAAAGATATCGAAATCCCAGTTTATTTTCAAGAACCCAAAATATATTTAGAACACAACATATACATTAATTCTTATGTTGGGTATTAAGAACACGTATACTAAGCACGAAACCAACATATACTAAGCATGAAAAAATTAAATCCATTCCCGATTCATAATAACGGAGAGTGATTAAAAGATCCGACAACATTAAATCCATTCCCGATTCACGAAAACATTAAACATTAAATCCATTAACCCATACCGTCGACAACATTAAAAAATCACAAAACCCTTTACCACATAACTGAATATCATTCAATGAATTTACAAGCATGAGATTAGGGTTTGTACTTATAGGTAGGCAGAGCTCACAGATTATGGCCAACTTGGATTCGACGGAGTTGTAAACTTGGCCAACTTGGATTCGACGGAGAGCCCAACTTTGAATTAGAGTTGAAGTGAGAGAGCAGAGCGAAATGTTTTAGGTCACAGATTATGGCCAACTTGGTTCAAGGTTACAAGTATAAGAGTTAGAGCGAAATCTGAAAATTTTAGGTCGAGGTGAAATTTTTAGAAAGCGCGCTTTTTAAAAAACATCAACGGAAACAAAAAACAACCGTCGTTAAAAGTTCAACCTAAACATGACGTCGTTGTAAATATCCTTACGACGCAAAAACAAACTACCGTCGTTAAAATGTCAAAAGAAATATGACGCCTGTTAAAGTAATTGGGTCGTGGTATCTCCATACGTCGTAAAAAAAACCAGACGTATTAGAAAATTAAATAGACAAATATACCCTAAACCCTAATAAATAAAACCTAAATTATATATATTTTTAAAAATAATAATTTTTCAAAACGGATTAGGGTTTTATGGCCTAAAATATCTCGTCCATAAAACCCTAAACCCTAATCCCTTTTCTAAATTTATTTAAACCCTAAACCCTAAACCCTAAACCATGAAAGTATAAGTGATGTTGTGACTCATGAAAACATTTCTCTTTTTGGTGGTAATTTTAAATTTGTATAACTCAAACTTAATTTTTTAAAGCTTAAGGGGGAAGAAAATATCTCAATGACTTCATAGGAGTTGACGTTGCATTTTTTGGAGTTATTTTAAATTTATTATGAATATTTTGAATTAAATATAATAAAATATTATTAATAAAACCCACAAACCACGTCGGCGTTAAGAAATTAAAGACGTTGTAAATCATAATAAACGACTTAATTTTAAAACAAACGTCGTTTAAAGTTAAAACCATGGCCATTTTTACACAGAAAACGACGTACAAACCATTTTCCAC